CCAGCCCGAATCCTGTCCTCCCAGAGCTCTCTGCCCGCTGCCCAAACCCTTCTGAGCCCCTGCCTCCAGGCCCCCAGCAGTCGTGGTGCTGGGAGCTGGATGTGCACCTGGGCCTCCTCCAGAATGCGGCGGTGCAGGACGCGGCCCAGAGAGGCCATGCCGACGGCAACCACACGGGCCTTGGTGGATGTGCTGGCCAGCGAGTGGTCGCGCACGGCCTGCCCGATATGCCGGGCCAGGCCCACGTGGAGGGCACTGGTCAGGATCCAGGCTCCTGTGGGGATGGAGGAGGGGCTCACTGTGCTGCACGGCCCGGATCTTTCCTAGTTGGCCCCACGCCCTAACACCTAGGCCCAATCAGCAGCCAGTTACCTGGGAGCCAGTGGTGGGTGCTGGGGAATACCTCAAGGTGGGATGGGGAAGCCGAGGCCCAGAGAGGGCAAGACAGCCACCCAAGGCAGGGTACTGGGCAGCAGTGGGACTGGCTGGGCCCAGAACCTGTGAAGTGGCACCCCCACCCCACCTGGAGCACACATGCTGGGGCCCAGTCCTTCCTCTGGGGTCCCTCCGGGACAAATCCGACACAGCTCTGTCCAGCTGCCTCTGCTGGGCCAGAATCCCAGGTTGTTTTCCCAAACTTTTACAAAGCCCTCGGCCATGTCTGGCTGGAAGATCTCTTTGAGTTTGCCACAGTCATTTCTTTAGTCAGGGTCCCTGAAACCTCAGGCCCTTCTCCCGCGTGTTGCATAGGCCAAGCTGCCTCAAAAAAGAGCCCAGTCATTGGACTCTGGCCCCTACAGCTGGCTGGCCCGACTGCCTCCCCAGGGGGTCCCACCCTGTATACACTGGGGTGCTTTGGTCCCAGGTATGTGGGAGCAGGGACATCTCGTAGTGGAGGGGGCAGCTCTAAGGAAGGGCCAGGCCCAGCTCAGGGAGGCCCTGGTCCAGTACGTAGGCACTGCTGCACCTGTGGGTACTGCAGAGGACAGGTGGGCAGTTTCGGGAAATGTTCTCCTGATGGTCCAGAGAGTCAGGGCCTCGGGCTGCTGTGTGGGGTGGGAGCGCTGCCCGTGCCGGGTGGGGTGGAGAGTCAGGGCCTCAGGCCGCTGTGTGGGGTGGGAGCGCTGCCCGTGCCAGGTGGGGTGGAGAGTCAGGGCCTCAGGCCGCTGTG